AGGTGGCTGGGAAGTCGGGGGCCAGATTCTTCGGTTTGAACGACAACGCGACTCGGTTATTCAGGTGGCTTTCACGATGTGTGTGTGTAATACGCTCGGTAGCTGAAGGTTGAGGTGGCTTGCCCAGTGCAGTGGACACACGGCACAGATGTACCTGAGTGGCTTTATTTCCACAGGTCGACGGGGGTGAGGTTTGTGAGTGAATGGCCGTGTAGATTTTTTCGTTTGTTTGTTTGGGTGAGCGGCTAAGGTGGCGGCACACCCACGTGGCTTGGTAGCTGGTTCATCAGTGCCTATGGGCGAGTAATCCGGGTGAACCACGCGCCTGGGTGTCTGGGTCGAGTGGCTGGGCCCTCCGGACGGATTGTACCCGTGGTCATTTGTTGTCACGAAGAGTAAACTTTTTCAATGGAGTTAAAACCCCGAACCACCACCACCACAAAACAAAGCGCACTGTACTCACGTCCCCAGATGGACGCCAGGCGCGCAAAGAATGTCGCGACACAAGCGGTGCGCGCGTGTGGAGGAGCTCTACCGTTACACACCGCGACAAAGACAAAGCTCCCCCGTGTAGCCTGTACACAGCCTGCTGGGGCAAGTGGCTGTTGGCGATGAAGGTTGGCACGGCCGCCACAGACGAACGAAGGTTGGGTGGGTTGCCCAGCACCAAGCGCCGGCCACCTTTGTCTCCCCCCCCATCCACCACGCCCGCCCGCCCGCCTCCCAACGGTGGCGATGTTTACTACGCACCGCACCAGGTACTCATTTGAGGCTGAGTCGACCTAGGGGAGGCCCATGACCGGTTGAGATAATCGTCACCGGCGTTGGTGGCCGTGAACGGGAATCGAACTCTGGTGGTACGTGGCGTAGCGTAGCGCTAACCGCTACACCACCCCACACAGTAACAACAACAACAGCAGCAGCAGCCACCAATCGCCATTAAGTGGCGGTGGCGCCACCACGGCGCTCGTGCCAGGCTAGGTGCACCTTGAGGCCGTTTCGAGAGGCGTGTAAGGCTCTCTGCTGGCAGGAGGTTCACGGCACGGACCCAGTTTGCCGTGCGTTGACTCACTCAGATGAGACTGGCAAGATGCACGACCACCGGTGGCTCCCTACTGACAACTCGCCGCGTTTTATCCGCCCGGCGCGCTCCGCTCGTTGTTGTGAGCGTCGCTCTCCTCTGCCCTCCGCTCTTGCTGGAGGGCGACTGCCTCCAACTTCCCAGCAGTATCAGCAGCGTCCTTCACGAGCCTCCTCCTCCACAGAGGCCGATCTTGACACCGCTGTTTGCCAGTTACTGGCAAGTCCACTCAGTCTTGATTTGAAGCTTTCGTGACTGCAAGAATCTATATTCTTTGGTTCTTTAGGTAAAATCACGCGACTTTACCGAAATAACCAGAGATTAAGTCCACTCTCTTAGCTCCGCATCTCCCCGGCATCACCAGCTGCCATCTCTCCTCCAGCCCGTGCCGAGCCCCGTTGAGCCCTCCTCCTCCTGTCCGGCCCGAACAGAAGCTGCCCTGGGCACGCGGGCTACGTGACCCAGCCAACGCAGCCTCCTCGCTCGCCTGCCGGCGGAGCTCACTGATGAGTAACACGAACGATCCCACGTATACTTGAAGCCGACAAATCCTCGCGCAAAAAACTCGCACGTACGCACGCGAGGCTTACGGAGGCAACATCACAACCACAAACCCACGCCTTTGTCTCCCCAGTGGCGATGTTTACGCACCGCACCAGGTACTCATTTGAGGCTGTGTCGACCTAGGGGAGGCCCAGGACCGGTTCAGATAATCGTCATCGGTTGTTGGCCGTGAGCGGGTATCGAACTCGGGTCGCCGGGTTCGTAGCGCAGCGTAGCGCTAACCGCTGCACCACCGCTCCACAACGCACGCGCACCCACGCGCGTTCGCTCAAGCTCCCCAATTCACAACCCTCTCGCAATGACGTTCACGCAAACCTGTACGCAAGAGAACGTTGCACAATCACGGACTCGCGCATCAACACAGTCGCATGCAAAATCATTATCAGCAGCAGCAACAACACCAGCTAGCTTAACCCATCCATTGCTAAGTGGTGTGACTTCACCGCAGCGTTTGCGCCAGGCTGTGTAGAATGATGACGTCCCGCTGATGAGGTTATGGGTTATAGACGGGTAAGTCATGACGCTCTATACGAAGCATCGATTTCTCAATTTAAATCAGTTGTTAAGCTCGTGGTAAGATTATATGTGTGTGCCTGTGTACGAATTCGTTAACTTTGATTCGTATGCGTTGTATGTAATTGGTTCACGTGACCCTTGCGATCAGTCACCGGAGGTACTAACAATGCCTCCGGTAATTCAAGAATTGAAACAATTGAAAGAATTCTTGAATCTGATCGCAATTCCGAAGTGTGACAATTACAGCAACTGAAAATGCTGCGGCAGCTCGGGATTTAATCTTTACAGCTCGACCCAACATCAGTTATAAACAACAACAACAACAACAAAACACCTTAACAACATTCTAGATTTGAAGTTTTAGTGACTGCAAGGATCCATACTCTTTGGTTCTTTCGGTAAAGTCACGTAGGTGAAAAAATAAAAATAAGCATATTTTTTTTAAAAATCAGATTTGTATTTTTTTATTCTTATTTTTTCACCTACGTGACTTTACCGAAGGAACCAAAGAGTAGCTTAACAACAGGCAGGATTGAACACCGACGCTTTACGCGGCAGACATTCTACTCTGCTCTCCACCCTTGTGCCATGGCCCGTTTGGCAACCTCCTTGCTGGCTAAACAGCAGCTGCTCTGGGCACGCTGTAGCCAGCACGGCCTCGCGTGATGGAGGATATCCCACTCGCTATTGCAATATCCGTGAGCTCCTCGCACAGTCGAACGTGTATTCTTCACCCAGCCACCTGGGCTATTTCAATCTGGCGCAGGTGTTCTTTTCAGGTTTAGCTGTGTCTTTCAAGCATGGAGAAGACGAGAGGACTCGATCGTGACGAGACATAACTTGTTTTTTGTGTGTGAAGACGACAGGACAGGCAACTTTTTACACCACTGTTACGCAAGCAATGGCGTTAAAGGCTCATCCTCCTTGGGAGCCAGGACATCTGCCGACAGCTCAGAGCTGCCCATGAGCATATTCTCCAGGTGTTGGAATTCGTTTTCCCTGTCAACAAGCCTCCCTCCCTGAATGCCTGCTGTGTCATTTGATACCCAAGTCAACATACAGCGTTCACGCGCAGGTTTATCAAGGGCTTAGGCGTTGTCAACTTTATTTGTTATATTCTCTCATAGTGGAAAAGAAGTGGAATGGAAAAGCTACATCGACTTCCACGGTTACTTCAGCACCTATGCAAAGTGTTGTTTAAAACTTGGGAGGTGTCAATGTATGATCTGCTTATTAATATTGACAATAATTCACAGCCCTTAGTCAACTGACGGCTGAATGAAGGCCTCCTCACACTATACGACATGGGGAAAGGGAGGGGGGGGAGTTGTTTAACCATACTTCACCATCCTAGTTGGTGCGAGTTGATCAACAGAGTGGGGGCCCAGGGACCAGTTCAGATAGCAACTCTAAACTAAACTATTTTATATTTTATCAGGTAAGGCCCACTGAGCTATGTAGCTTCTTTTCAGAAGCGACCTGGCCACAAATGATAGCTCAACAAAGTGACGTATCATTTGGAAATATATAGCAGCCAAATACTCTAAACGAGTGATGTTGATTCTAAATGTGGAAGGAAAACTGGAGGACCCAGAGAAAAATCCACGCGACCACGGGGAGAACACGCAAACTCCAAAGATACAACAGCGTCAGGGTCGAGATCGAACCCACGACCTCCTGTACACCAGACGAGGGGAGCTAACATCTCCTAGCCACCGTGGCGCCCGTAGCCACTAGATCTTATCCGTGACCAGTAATCAAAGCTCACAATGGTCCATCGTGATCGCTGTGTCACCGTTCCCACCTCAATCTCTCCATATCGCACCGCTTTTAATAACATGCACAGCTTTCCATATAACACAGGCAGACAGTTTTCCTTCATGGTAAAGTATTCAGCAATTGCATTTCCTTTACATATTTTTTCAACTGCATTTCCTTTTAATGATTCGTAACCAGCAGACCCATTGAAGCTCTTTCTCGTTTCTTTGCTGCTGCATGCTTTTACATTCAGACATTATTGTAATCAATGTTTAGTAATAAATCATGTATTGCCCCCTCTGTTAATCCACTGCTGGATGAAGGCCTGCCAACCTCATGTCAGTCATGAGTGTTGTTTGACCATAACTTCACCGTGCTGGTTAGTGCGAGTTGGTGAAGGGTGAGTAGGCCCACGGCTAGGAATTGAACACAGGTCACCAGGTTCATAGCTAAGTGTGCTAACCACAGCACCACAGTTCCCCCAGTCCATGTGTGCCCCATTGAAATATGTTGAATGCCTATAAATGTTACACTTAATTTGTAATTGTTTTTTTTTAAATATCTGTCATAGTAAGTGAGGAGGTTAGCTCATTTAATGAAAAGTTCCACATTGTGACATAAGTGTTGAGTATCAAATTCAAGTCAGCGGGCTTCCATAAATAATAAATAACTGCGGCGACTAGGATACATACAATTCGAAAAGTCGTGGGCTGATCTTGACATACTAAACAGCGTATGTGGGACCAACTTCTGTAATCTGTTGTAAAGTTTTTGCTAAATCCATAAAAAAGCACAACTCTATCTTGTCACCCACCCCCACACCAGCGCCCATTTACAGACAAAGCAAATGCAGAGACGCTTCTCCATATGGATGGAATGCGTCAAAAATGCACCACTCCGCGTATAAGTAAAGATTCTGTGTGCATGAGCTTTCGGTATGCAGCTGCTGGGGTGGATTATGTTGGAGGGAATGGGGGCAGACTCACCATGGCGACAGTCAGAGGTCAGGGGTCGCCCAGCTATGGGAGCTGTAGTCGTGAGGGTGGCGGTGGGGGTGTGCGCTGAGGGGGGGGGGGGGCTGTGCCGAGTGTCCGTACCGTGGCGTTGGAAGTGATACGGAGGGGAGCCTGATTGACCTTTTAAGCACATTTGGGGATTTACTGGCGAGCACCCATACACATTACTCAACTTCGGCGCTTTTGAAGCCTCCACGGTTCATATTCTCCCGTGAAGCAGGCAGCGTGTTTCAAACCGGCGGACCTGTCAAGACGCACGCGCCTGACGCGCGTCTCGCGCGTACGTATCAGTTTGGGGGAAGCTCACTTAACGGTAAGCTTCCACATTGGTTGCACCGATTGCAAGTCGCGCATTTCAACTGCGTGAAAAAAAATGGGTGATTTTGACTCGGCGAACGTAGCGATTCCTCACAAAACAACATTCCCTTCCTACCCCCTGCTGTTCTCACTCTTCCTCCACACCACCCCCCCTCTCCAAGCATAAACACAACACCACCGTTGTTTAGCCCTCCCAGGTGAGCTCACGCCACCACTGGCAGGCAATCTCACACTGCCCGCTTGACCCTCTCCGACAAGCGTCACCCCTCGCCCGTCTTCCAACCAGGGAGAGACGCTCTGCATTGGGTCGGGTGGCACGCGTTTGACACGGCCCTTCCCGCTGGGCCCCGTTCGTTCACTCACGCGCAAAATCAAACCTGTTGCGAACGGGGACAGCAAACCCGCAGCCGGTCAACGGTGAACTAGATGGCATCATTCAAAAGAAGAGCATGCCGTTGTGCGTCAAAGTCACGTGCTTTAAAAAAATAACTTCACTTTGAAAGCGACCCTTGACGACCCCGAGATAAAATGTGTAAAGTCCATCCTCACAGGGGGAGCACTTGAAATTGCTCTTGGGGGGAAGTGGAAGGCATTTTTTTTGGTTTTAGAAATGTTGCTGGCGACGTGTCTCTAATATGCATTTGTTTGCACCCACCGAAAATGTTTTACGCGCGGGGCAAATCGCACCGGCGTCGCCTTTCCTGTAATGCCGCCGGTGTCACTCGGTCACCGATCCTCCACGTGTCACGGGCCTCGTGTTGCCTGTGAGATGGGGGAGGTGATAGAGATTCGGAGAGACTGAAATCAAAGTAGGAGGATAAATAGAAGCAGCAAGGAGGTTGTCGTAGAGGACGGGGGAGAGGAACCGGAGGGAGGAGGAGGGGGGGTATAGGTAAAGTCTCCATTCTCTGCTTGAGATAAGAGGATGGATGAGCAAGGGTTAGCTGGAACGTTCGGGGGAGATTGGGGCACTTGCTGAAACGCAAACTGCTTTCGAGCACAAAGACTTCTCTCGACCAACGAGCGATGCCCGTGATGTTGAACACGTTTAGGGGCCGTGATGAGCGCGTGTCGAATGAGCGACGTGCAGATGACGTGTCGACTCTCGCCGGGAGCGTGATGAATTGCGTGTTGCGCGCGTCATGAATATTGCATGCGATGATGGGCATGTTCCACGACGTTTGGCTTGTGATCTGCAGGAGATATGTGGCGAGCACGTGGTGAGCATATTACATGCAGGCGCCTGTGAATGTGTGTGTGCGCTGTGCTCGCGCGTGTGCGTATGTCTTTGTATGTGTGTGGGGAGCGGTAGTGTAGCGGTTAGCGCTACGCTGCGCTATGCACCCGGCGACCCGGGTTCGATTCCCGCTCACGGCCAACACCAGTGACGATTATCTGAACCGGTCCCGGGCCTCCCCTAGGTCGACTCAGCCTCAAATGAGTACATGGTGCGATGTGTAAACATCGTTCCTAGGGAGACAAAGGCGGCCGGGCGTGGTGTTGGCCACCCACCCCCTCGTGTGCCGTGCGGGCCTTCATAGGTGCTCGCTAACAGCCACTTGCCCCTACAGTCTGTTAGGGCTATACGGGGGATCTTTGTTGTGCGCACACGCAGTGGGGAGGGGTAGCGTAGCGGTTAGCGCGCTGTGCAACGAACCAGGCGACCCGAATTTGATTCCCGCTCACGGCCAACGCTGGTGATGTCAGAGATAATTTGTTATAAAAAAAAATATTGAAATAAAATGAGAAACGGCAAGTATTGAGTTTCAGCTTCATTTTGTTTACCCAGACGACAACACAAGACACCAGGATAAAATATTGTATGCAAGCGTGACCTGGCATCACGATATGACGATCTTATGCACAATGCACTATACCGTACGATTGTCGTGGTGCTTATATCATAGCTATGTATCGTGGCATCGCTGTATCGCTGCAACGCTTTTACCACACACATTGCCCGAACATTCTGCCTGGTGCATGGAATGAATTGCACGTAGGACGTTCCTCCCAAGTCGCCTGAGACAGGCACGCACGCACGCACGCTTACACGTGGGCACCTCCGCCGATTGATGTCCGCGGCGTGACACGTGGCGTCGCTACTGAAATCGAGAAATGTGAGACCGGCCCCTATACCACAATCCAGGGAGGATCACGGCAACATGCCCGCACGGCCATCGGGGTTGGCAAAGCGTAGAGGTGGGAGGCAGGAGGTGGGGTGGGGGGTTGTTTCTCTAGTGCCTCCAGGAAAACACTCGCACGCAATCGCATCTTAGATATCCAACAACCGTGGAGAGTGCCAGATAAAGCGCGGGCACTTGAGCGCTTGAGAGCTATCTCTGTAATTTGAGTCCATACAGAAAAATTAAATGTCATAAATGCCTAAACATGAACACATGCGCAGGTTTATGGGCAGCCAGGATTGAGTAGCGCCAACCCCCCCCGCCCGCCGCCCGCCCCCGTATATCTGCAAATATGTTTATACTTGTAGATGCAGAATTGTAAGCCATGGAGCTTTGGGAACAAAATTATCTCTTTCGTTATAAATCACATTCACGTGATAATGTCTATGCATTGAGCAGCCCTACGGATTGCAGTATATAAGGCACGCACGTACGTGCGTAAGATGCCAGGAATTCAATGGGCAGGGATAGGGAGAGCAGCTTGGAGCTCGTGTTTAGGATGGAGGAGGGGCGGGCGTTTTGAGGGGCACTTGGCAGGTTGGGGACCGAGGGGCAGACGTGAAGCCAGATGGAGGCATTTACTGTATGTACGTTGGACTTCTTTTGCACCGTATGTAGCCAACCGTGCTAATCGGAGGGGGCGGGAATGGAAGGGCGCTCTTGTGGAGTTCGGTTTCAGCTGTGGAGGAGCAGCTGAGGGATGGTGGCAGAAGGAAGTGATGCGGACGGAGGTGGTGACAGCGCCGGTGGTGTTGTCCGTGATGACCGCTCGACACGATGCCGCTGGGTATCACCAATGACACACGGGCGACCCCCAAAGAGCTGCCCGTGGACACAGGAAGGGCTATGGACCCTTTGAGGTTCCCCATATGATCACCCATTACCACCCTGTGATGAAGTAGAGCATTCAGAGAACAGCATTTCGGCTGTTTATATGCTACCTCCGATTAGAATGGTTGGCTACGTACGGTGCAAAGGAAGTTGAACATATTTATATACCAGCATTGTATGTACGCCAGAAATGTAAACAGTTTTTATCATTCAATATTTTGATGCTGGCGGAAGTATTCCATGGTTGTTTATGTATACTATGCATTAATACGATTTTGTATTCTGCAACATTGCGATCAAGAATATAGGTCGTTTTTTTCCCCAGTGTCATACCCATGTTACGCAAAATGTAACAAATGCCCACAACTCAGTTATTACAAGTTATGAGTGACGGTTCTCATGTTACTGTAGTTAAGTATCTAAAGTGGATCCAGCTCTCATCTGGGGAAATTCCTTACAGGAAGTTGAATAGACACAGACGGTATCTCTCCAAACTCCCCATCGTACGGCATACACACGTTGTAGAGTGTCTACAAAATGTGTTGGGCCATACCCAGCCCTCGAAACAAATTTTGCCATGCATTGTAAGAGTTTGTAAAAGTGCAGTTTGCGTAATTATGAATTTCCTGAGGTCAGTAGCGTTTTTTCACGTATAAACACGCGAAAAAATGCACGTACCTATACTCTGGTTATTTGTAAGAATTTGTGGATGGCAAGATTAATCTCTGTTCACGATTGTGGATCCTTGACGACGATTCGTCATGCACGAACATACTTGTTTCTGTGGACTACGGAAAAAAAAACCTGTCGCAACAACTCGAGTACGCATTCTCGTGATGACAGCCATAAATGACGTTTAAACCCCCTCATTTCAAAGATGAGGGCAGTGATTCAGACATGTGCTGACGTACAGTACAGTACTATAATTTAATTTAATTCCGGGCCTTCTTTGGCTGGAGGCGATTGCGTCTCCGAGTGCTATACTGAGATATCAGACTCATTTTTGACCGCTGCGATAGAGGCATTTGATCGGGTTTCATGTTCTCATACCGCGTTGCATGCCACCAATTCCATTTGCACAGCGCGGACCTAATGTATCGCATTGAAACATACAGTGCAGTACGGCAATAATTTGCAACAAATGTTTGCATTTAGGATGTGATATCACCATTTCCTGGCATCTCATTATATAAATGTCGTACAACCACTCTACATCGTAACAAAGTACACCGCTGAACCAGATACAGTATATTTTTTACTGAAAAGCTCGTCACAGGGCCAGCAGTGATTTTTTTTTCTCTCCTGAAAGAGAATTCTCACTTGGGGGAAGAGCGGTAAAGTGGGCGACCTGAGTTCGAGTCCCGGCCACGGTTTGCGAGTGATATCCCAGAGGGGCAGCCCCTTCACTAACCACCCACACTGCTCAGCATGGTGAAGAATGATCATAATTACCCCACGTGACCAGAACAAAGGCCATCATCCAGCAGTGAGGAGAGTGAAATGTCTAGGCCCATGTCCTCCTTCCGCTAATCATGCCCACAATGCAGCCCGTTTGTCCTTCTGATTCTGAATGGGAGGACCTCCCCTACGACGTGTAGTTTAGAGTTATTTTGTCCATACTTCACCACGCTGCCACGTGCGGGTTTGCGATAGGCGAGTGCCGGTTCACATATCACTCACCGCCGGTGTTTGCTGTGACAGCTAATTTAACTCGGGGTCACTGGGTTCATATTGTGGAACCTCGTCTTAATGTCGTAATTAACCTCGTACAACATGGTGAGCTTAACAAGACATTGAACACAGATGTTCACATCATCATCATTATCATCATCCTCTTTGTGCATCTAACTTCATCATCAGCCATAACTTTACCCACTGCTTGATGAATGTCTCCCCGGGCTGTAGCCATTCCACAAGGTCACACGAGAGAACAACTCGTCTCGGATTTGTACATTCGCTGATATCATCGCTCCCGTCTCCTCAGTGTTGATGTTCATATCTGGTGTGTTTCTCTCCTTTGGCCCATCGCTCCATCATCAGTGTCGACCACGGGTTATTCATCGTCCTTCATAGCGATGCCTCTAACTTGCATTTTGCTCCCTGACCCATCTAAAGTTTCATGCTATAATTTAGTACACACACTGCAGTGCTTTCGAGAATGAGTCACAGTAAAACGCATATATATACACACACACACTACTCTGGAACTGTATGCATTTCAGACTTAAGCACTGTTAAATTGCAAGGCACAATACGTGAGGTTTATTGCATTGTATAAATGATACAACTTTATTTTTTACGTTTTATTTAAAAGCGCCACGGAATAGAGAGCGTGGATGTTTTATTGAAATCTGGAAGATTTTTTTCCATTAAAGTCTGGTGGTTAATTTTTCATTTCTGATTTGACAGAGCTCCCCAGGGTGGGTGGGTGTGGTGGTGGTGGGGGGGGGGGCTGGAGTCAGCGGGGGCCCCCGGGCTGCTCGAGTAACGGGACCATACATGGCTACGACCACTGTATGCTGCTGCAGCAGCTGATGATGAGAGCTTACACACAGATAACTGCTGTAGCTTCACCACAAACACGGGGGACAATTAGGCCGCTTCCTATTCAAATATTGCAATTGTGAGTTACGTGATGTGTGAGCCCCCCCCCCCCCCCTCCTCTTCCTCTGTCTGTTCTATAAAACGTTTAAATCATTGCAGCAGTACCTGAAATACTTGTCATACAAAACAATAGGGGTTTAGGTAGAGCGGTGGCACAGTGGTGAGCGCACTCGCTGGAATGTGGACCAGATGACCTGGGTTCGATTCTTGCAACACGGCTATAGCAGCGTTAGTCTAAGAGTGATGCTGTGTATGTGACCCGGTCCTCGGCTCGTCTTCCTTGCCCCCATCTTCCGACCACTTCACCAACCTGCACTGTTCAGGATGGTGAAGTATGGTGAAAATATGCCAATGGCCAACAGCGTGAAAAATCTTGCCATCCAGCAGTGGATTGCGATAGGGATGAGTTCATGTAACATTTTATGTTTAAAAAAACATTGTATTTTAGTTACAAATGGCCGTAACACATTTTTCGAGAATGGGACTTATATATGATAAGTTTCCCAAACTCAGCACATAAAATTTCAACTTCACAATGCTCAGAAGAGTCTGGCGTGGTGCGTTGCTCATCCCTGATGCCCCCCCCCCACCACCCCCGCCTA